TCGACAACTAACTTACTTACTTAGTAGGTAGGTGGGTAGGGAAGGACGACGACGACAGGTAACGGTAACGTACGACGACGACGCTCTCGTACTACGTGTGTCCGTACCCTACCTACCTAACCTACCTCTCTCTCTCTCTCTCTCTCTCTCTCTCTCTCTAACACACACACGCGCGCGCGTGGGCACACACAAATGTTTGAAATCTTCTGGTGATAAAAGAGTAACACACCACATGCGCACGTGTGTGCGGGCACAAACAAATGTTCGAAATCTTCTGGAGATAAAAAAGTAGAACAATTTACAGTCCGTAGTTTCTACTTGTACAAAGCAAACAAGTTCAAGAAAAAATTATAACTCATTCAAAAGTAAAACACATAAGTCGTATATTCTCATAGTTTACAAATATAATAAGGGTGTGGTTTGTATAGAGCCTAGGCTCTAAACAATCAAATTAAAGCCTACTTTCAAATAGTGTCGAGAAATGTTGTTTCAATATTGGAAATCTTTGTGATAGCCTTAACATATATTTTCATATTTATTTAAAAAGTTTAAAGCTTCAAAAATAGTGTAGATCGACAAATCTATCAAAACTTGAAAATCTTGAAAATTGACGGTCTCAAAATGCATTACAAAATACACTATTTCCAAAACTTAAAATCCGTTTTTTCTCATGTCCATGCATCTTGATGTCAAGATGATCGATTTGAAGATATTTGGGCATCAAAACAAACCTCTTCTAGTGAAATTTTTGAGGTAGGCTCAAATTTGATTGTTTAGAGCCTCGGCTCTATATAAATTTTTCCCATATAATAAATACCAGTGTTTAAAAAATCATTGACCCGATCCAAAATCGGGCGATCCGGATCGGGTATTGGTTGGACCGTCCAGGATCCACTAATAAAACGAGATCCGGACATATCACAACAGTAAATCGTACCTATGAGGTCATGAGTCTGGGTATGATGTCACAAATCGGCAAGTTTGTGAAACTGAGTCATTTTTTAATTTTTTAAAAAAACAAAGGGCAGTTTGCCCATCATATGGTATTTTAATAGGCCCCATGTGGTTCTATGAGCGCATGAGCTCATCCTATTGTTCAGGTTTTATAGAGGCAAAAGCCTCATTCGTTGATCAAATGCGTCATCTCGCTCCCTATCTCGCCTTCTCTCTGAGTAACTTACTCTCTCTCTCACTCGCCTAGGATTCTCTCTCGCGTTGGCTTCTCTTTCTCTCCCAAATCTCCTACCTTATTAACAATCTCTATCTTGTATCCTATTTATTAATTTATTTGTACTACAAGTTATGTAATGTATTATTTTTTGTTGTAAATAAAATTTTTTTAAATTAGATGATATTATAAGACAAAAATTAAATTTATTCTAATTTATATAGTAAAATAATTATAAAATATAAATCAATAATTCCAATTTCAATGTATAACATTATAACTACTTAGGTTGTTATAATTTTGGATGAGCAAAGAGAATTAATAAATATTTAATGTGATATTAATTTTGGTTTAGAAGGGGTATTAGTTTTTTAATCATATAAAATAGAATTTAAAAAAAAAAATTGAATCATTTTGATGTAATATTATAGTATTAAATTATATAATAAATAATTATAAAGACATCCAAACAGGGAAACGTTTCAATAGTCACGTATTTATGTAAAAAATGAAAGTACATACTGTAACACCCTCATTTTTTTCTTTAACTTAAAAAATACCAATTTTAGAATTTTTTAGTGAATAACCAAAAAATTTATTATAATACTATAGTTAATAATTATACATTGAAAACAAAATCTTGCATTTTATTTATTAATTGATTTGCATTATAAATTATGTAATGTATTATTTTTTCTTACAGTTACAAATAAGCTTTTTAAAATTAGATAATATTATAAGACATTTTAGATTTGTCCTTATTTGCAGTAAAATAATTATAAAATATAAACCAACAATTGCAATTTCAGTATATAACATTATAGTTACTTACGTTGTGATAATTTTGGATGAGTAAAGTGAATTAATAAACATTTGATACTTTGATGTGATACAAATTTCACTTTATATGGAAATTGGTTTTTTTAATCGCATAATATGGAACTGTTTTCTAATATTTTTAAATAATTTTGTTACATATTGTAGTACTATATTGTAAGTAATAATTATACAGACATCCATACAGGAAAACAACGTCTTAGTATTCACCTATTTTTACAAAGTAATGAAAGTACATAATGCACCACTCCTAATTTCTTTTAGAAACTAAAAGATTTTTAGAGATTTATAGTAGTTTTTTTAAAAAAATTGGGACAAAAATTGCAGATTTGGCTGATTCTCCGATCCGATCCACCAATTCGACACAAGTACAGGTGAGACTGATTCGGGTCACCGATTCGTTTTTTTAAACTCTAATAAATACTATAAAGTTTATATAAAAACATTAAGGGTGTCTCTAGATGGCGTATAAGAAATGGATATTGCAGTTCATATACTGCACCCATAAAATTAGGTGCTTGGTGTGGCCACAATATCTACAACACGTTGCCCGACTTATATGGTAATAACTGGTTACAGGTGTAAGGGCCAAATTGCAAAGGTTTGCCCTTATGCTAAGTAGAGCGGTTTGCAGCCAGTTATATGCCGCACCCAAACACGACCTGAGTGTATAAGAAAATATAAGTTTATAACATGTAATAGTCACCAAATAGGAAAAATAACAAGAAAATAAAAATTAATATCCTCACCGTGTCTCCGCAGCGGTCCTTCGCAACGAGCTCGCCTGGTTTGAGAAACCTGAGAACAATGCAAGCCTCCTCACCTCGCACATTGTCGCTGACACATGTCAAATTAAAGTCATCATCTCCGACCGCACCTCCGTGATTGTTCAATGTATCTCCTCTATCGCCATTGCCACCACTGTGAGCATGGTCGTCAACTGGCGCATGGGCCTCGTTGCCTGGGCCGTGATGCCATGTCACTTTATTGGTGGTCTTGTCCAAGCCCGCTCGGCCCAAGGCTTTGCTCTCGACTCTTCACTTTCTCACTCTAAACTTAGTAAAATCATGGCTGAATCAGCATCAAACATACGCACTGTGGCCTCCTTTGTGTGTGAGGACCGGCTCATTGCACAAGCCAATAGCTCGCTCATGGACCCACTAATGAGGAGCCGAATTGAGAGCCTCAAGTATGGGTTCATACAGGGTTTCTCCTTGTGCCTATGGAACATAGCACATGCAGTTGCATTGTGGTATACCACAGTTTTGGTGGAGAGAAAACAAGCCAGTTTCGAGAACGGGATAAGGTCTTATCAGATTTTCTCCCTCACAGTGCCCTCAATCACCGAGCTTTGGACACTGTTGCCTACTGTATTTGCAAGCCTTCGCATCCTAAGACCTGCCTTAAGGGTTCTCGATAGGCAAAGCCACATTGATCCTCAAAGGAATGGAGGCCTCAGAAGAGACAGAATCTGCGGAGCTGTGTGCTTCCAAGATGTTCAGTTTTCATACCCATTGAGACCTGATTCCCTAATTTTGCAGGGCTTGAGCTTCTCAATAGGAGAAGGCATGCAAATGGCTCTCGTCGGCCCTAGTGGATCAGGCAAGTCATCAGTTTTAGGGCTGGTGCTGAGGTTCTATGATCCTCAGAAAGGTAGGATACTAATCGATGGTAGGGACATTAGAGATTACGAGTTGAGGTGGTTGAGGACTCACATAGGGTTGGTGCAGCAAGAGCCACTCTTGTTTAGCACTTCAATTGTGGATAACATTCGCTATGGGAATGAGAATGCTTCAGAGAGTGAAATACTGGAGGCATCAAAACAAGCAAATGCTCATGGATTTGTGAGCAGTTTGCCAGATGGATATGATACAATGGTGGGGGAGAAGGGGTGCCAGCTCTCTGGGGGTCAAAAGCAAAGAATAGCCATTGCTAGGGCCCTTTTAAAGAGGCCTTCTATCATGATGCTTGATGAGGCCACGAGTGCACTGGATGCTGAATCAGAGGCAATGGTCATGAGGGCCATAGCTCAATCTGGTGAGGGCTGTGGTTGCACACAAATTAGGGTGGCACATAGGTTGTCGACAGTTATGGATTCAGATACCATTGTGGTGATGGATAAAGGGAAAGTTGTGGAGATGGGGCACCATTCTGAGCTGGTCACGTCCGAAGGCGGGGTATATTCGAGGTTTTTCAAATTGCAGAATTTGTCAGGGAAAAGCAATACAACCTTAGATTAAGGAAACTAGGGAGAAGGTACAATACTTCACACCTCATGCTTTAGAATTTGTTCGGGTATGGAGTTCCATAAAGATGAACAATAATGACATTAATGGGGTGACTCACAGCATTCAGCCATCAGAATTCTCTCTCTCTCTCTCTCCCACACACACACTCACACACACACACAAACAAACACACAAATGCACAGAGACACACACCAAGACAAGCACATGCATACGAATGCCGCAAGAACAATAGAACGTGGATCCCATTGTCCCAGTAAACACACACACACACATACGCACGCACGCGCGCACACACACACACACACACACAAAGAGAAGAGAGAGAGAGAGAGAATGAGAGAGAGAGAGAGAGTTTTGAAAGATATAGAGAGAGAGCTTGGAATTAGACATTTCCTACAACTAAAGACATCCTTTATTTTTTTGAATCCACAAAGTTCCACTCGATTCTTCTGATCAACAAAGTAAATAGGGTTAGTGTATATATAATAAGAAACTTCGACATTCGTCTTCATTAATTTAATATGTTGTAAACCTTGGTGAAACTCCCATTTTCATCGACCAAGGAAGAAACTCAATAATCCTCAACCTTCTAATTTTAAACAACATAATCACAAACGAACATCTTATACACACAGGAAAAACCTCAGATCAGTACCTATGCTTCTATGTTGATGAACACATTCTATGGATTGTCTTCAGCTGCTCCAGCTCCCAACCAAGTGCAACCCCAGGATCAACGTAACATAACTGAATCAATAAGATTACCATTAAAATACATAGCTATCTTTTTCCTTTTAGCCAGATAAAAACTAGCAATTGACAAGACATTTGATTTATCAAAAAAAATAAAAAAATTGAAAAGCAATAATAAATTGTGCCCGTATATAATGCCATGGATATTTTATAAAATGAGGATTCATAAAGAGTAAAAAGACCTGGTATTGTGGCTTCTTAAGTGTGTGCACCCCTCTTTTCACAAGCTTCTGCCATCCATCATTTTCCCGAAGAGACCTCTCCAAAGTGGCCGTGTTCTGCAAAGGTAATTGAACAATGGGATGCATGAGATGAAGTATAATGCTATAATGGAATTTAGAGGAAAACCAAACAGCCCTAACAGGTCCAGAAAACAAGCAGATAAAACTGATATTTTGGACCCAGCAATTCTTCTAGGTTCTAAAAAATGACAAATAACCTCTTCATCTCCCAACCTAACCCAGAGGTATGAAAGGAGAAAATTTTAGGACAAACAGCCATAAATTCCATGCCTAACCAAGGTCTAAATTTAAATGCACGCAAAGAGTATGACGAGGCAAAATATATGCTAGGACTAATGGCCACATGCCTGACCAGGATCCACATCTAAAAGCATTCGCCGCTCAGGCATTCCATCTCCAATCCTCTGGCTTTGAATCCCAACAATTGTTCTCGAGTGGCCATAATGCTGGAAGTACAAAGGCCTGCATACTAACAGTTTCAACAAAACAATACACTTCCAGAAATTTGTCTCTGGAAACAATGTCATGATGTAAAAGAGAAAAATGAGTAAAAGGTTAGTACTAATAACTGTTTGAAGATGATTAGCAAAATGCAAACTTATTTTCAATACCTTTTCTTCCAAAGACAATAAAGTTATTTCTATTATCAAGAAAAATCTGCGGTTTGGTCATGTTTTACCGAAGTTTAATAGAGATCCTGCGTGTACTTCACTAAAACATTAAAGTGATATCCATAAGATATAGCATATGCATGTACATAGGCATATTTGTACAATATCCACACATTCAATATGGGTGCACGTGTACATCAACCCAGGGGAAAAATATACGACTCACGTTTTCCTGCTGACAAGAACTCGATGATCATTGCCTGAACAAAAGAAACTTTGGTCCACAAAATAATTCCAAACCCAATCAACAAGTATCTGAAGGCCATTACCACAACTTGTCGAATAGCACTTTAGATTACCATGATTAAAAAGGTCACTGCTAGCTCCAGGTACCTTAGAAAACATATCATCACAATTCTGCATGTTAGCACATCTATTTAATTCATGCCTAGAGGGGTTACTTCAAAGAAAACATGGCATGATTTACTTTTTGCAGAAATTTGTCCATTGGCCCCCAAATATGGTTAGCAGTTTGTCCACCCCAGCTTCTAGATGTCTCACCCATTTTACTTCCAAAATCCACTATCTGAGCCCTAAGCCCAAATGAACGAAGAAGAGCCGCGCATTCAGTGGTTCCAATCCATTTCCTCGATCCATAAATCTTGTAATTGAATGACTCTGCACCGTACATATCAAAACCCATTTCCCATGCAATCTCAAGCCACCTCTGGAGAGATGGAATGTCAGGAACAAACCCTGAACCGCCAAACATAACTTTGTTTACATCTTGCCTTTGCATTAACAAGTGTGAGCACATCATCTGAATGTTGCGCCACCCACAGCCCCAACCCAAGTCTTCCCCTCTGCTACTTTGATAGTGATCAATATGCCCAGTTATGATACTTTGTCTATTCTCACTTTCCATCTCCAAGGACCTCCTCAACAAAGTCATCAAGCCTTCTTGAACCCTGTGAAAGGTGCTTCTTATTTGACAACTTATCAGACTTGCAATTTTTTCTGAAATATGTATTTCACCACATTGAGCATTTCCTAGTAACTGTTCACTAGCTTTAGCAGTCTTATCTCCAGAGCTCTGCAGGTAGGTCATGAAGCCATAATGACTACAAGATAACTTCTAGATATTTTTAAGATGCTCCAAAACAAAAATTCAGGGTAATCTATCAAGTAACACCAATGGAGAATATCCTTACAAAGGTGGATGCAAAAAAAGGTGAAAAAAAAAAAAAAATGTTATGGATGAGGGATACAACGTTCTAGATGCTAACCCATAACAATATAGAATAATATCAAATAACTATAGAAACTCAAACTGATTTAGCATTATCATTTTGAAGAACAGCATGAGCAATGTGAGTATTTAACTAGAAGAAAATTGATTTGTCCTAGGAGCACACCAAGGTTTTGTTTCTTTTTCTGTGGAAAATTCCAGGGCAGACCTAGCACTACTGTATATATGACTAGAAAATATCAAGACAGCCCTAAGACCCCTCCTTCGTTTCTCTCCCCCCTCCCCTCTCTTATAAAGAGTATTTCACACACTATCATGTGTTTTAGATCCCCTTCCCAGTATTATAAACAATCAAAGGATGATAAAATGGTCATTTAAATTTTTTGAGGGTTCCAATAATGTCATGAGCAACTCTGGTGCCGGAAAACATTCTAATCGCCATGAAATCTATTTCTGCTCCTGATCATAAAATTTGAAGCTCCAAAAATAGTGTAGATATGGCAGATCTATAAACACTTGAAAATGGATGGTCCAAAATAATGCGTTACTAAAAAAATTCAATACTTTTAGGGCTTGAAATAACATGTCCTTTCAGATTCAAAATTCTGAGGTCAAGACAAACAATGAGGGTTCTTAGCCATCAGGACTATGTTTTCCAGTGTAGTTTTCAAGTGTGGATTTACTTTTTATCGCAAAGCCTGGGCCATATATAAACTCCTTCTCCCCACTCCTCCCCCCACCTTACACACATACACACAAATATATAAATAAACAAATACATAAGCCAATGAGCTTATACTATATGTAGCCCATCAAAAGAAGGATCTTTCGAAGCCCAAATTTTGCGTGCATGTAGAACTCATCTAGATGATCAAAATAAAACAAATGAATACAAAAGATCGAGGAAAGTGACTCTATTTTCGAAGAGCCACCCATGCCATTCATTTGGTGAACGGTATATCTAGGTCTTCAAGAACTCAAAAAAAAACTTTTCAAGAAAAAAAAAAGCTTATATTCAAATAAAAGATATTATGTAAAATTTCAACCCAACAAATCCCTCTAGCTATGTGTTTTGGGCACAGCTTATAACTATAAGCCCATAGCTCTTATATATATTACCAAAGTTCTTGGGGAACTTGAGGCCAGTGCAATTTGTTCTTCCAGTTCTATGTTTCTTGCAAGCTCCATGTCTCTTCCAAGCTCATCTTCCTCAAAGTGTCCATTCACATGGCTGTGCAAACAATTTAGGTCTTAGAATATGACCAAGTACCAAACATAACAACCACGAAACAAAAAGGAACTGAGAAATTACCTTTCCAGCTGAGATAGAGGGAAGGTCAAATGACATAGAGGGCAGGCCTCAGACATGAGCTAATATTTGAATTCCTGAAATCATAATAACAAAACCTCAGCATCTAATAATATAACTAAGACAGGTATTCACTCCAGCTGAATACACAATTTAAAGTTACACATCGTAGCTCAAGTAAGAATACTATATACAACAATCAAAAGGAAAGGTCATAAAATGCAACTTCCAAATATATGCATCCTCTTAATCTCTCAAAAACAACACCTTTTGATTTATTTTAAATATCTCTTTCTCCATTGAATATGATTTCGTCAGAGGCATTGAGAACACTAGAAACTAATTCTTGGGGCACCTAAGCGGGGAGATTTTAGAAACTGCCACTCACATCAAAACTGAATAAAAAAGGGAGTGATTTGCATAAGGTCAACCTTAAACAATCAAATTAAGGTGCACCTCCAAACTTCGTCACAAGATGCAATTTTGGTGTCGAAAACCCTTAGGATCTCGTGATAATCTATTTTATCTCTAATTATAAATTTTAAACTCCAGAAAATGGTTCAAATCAAGAAGATCTATAAACACATGAAAATTTTGAAAATGCAAGGTCCAAATAATATATTGCAAGATGTACTATTTTTAGGACTTAAAATATGTCTTTTCTGCATATCTATACATCTCGATGTCAAGATGATCAATTAGATGCTTTTTCAACATCACAACAGCCTTTTCCAATGGATTTTGGAAGTGCACCTTAATTCTACATTTTAAGGTGTCAACCTTTTATAAAAATTTTCCATAAAAAAATTAGGCTCAGAAAAATCATTAACCAACTTCTGCCTAGGCTTTTGAACAACAATCAAATACAAAGGTAAAAGAATGTAATTTTCAAATATTTGATTTTGATATCATCTTTAACTTATTATTGCTTTCTCATAAAAACAATCGCTTCGAATGTATCATTCTGTCTTTAAGCTGGATTGCTAAAAGAGACCAAAAGGCATAAAGAACTCTAGAAACACAAGTTTATGAGGCAACTAGATTAGTAGGGCACTAAGAAACTCTTAGTCATATTACTACTTCAGAAGACATGGTCTTGAAAGAACTCTAACTTACTTTCCTCACGCTTAAACAAATTAAACTAAGAAGACAAACAAGTCTATACGTGATATCTCTCATGCCAAGGTCATGCATATCACCTGATATATTCACCTCAAGGAACATGTGCTACATGACTTGATGGAATATTTTACCTCTAAGATAAATATTTTACCTCTACTTATCTAAGATATGCATGACAGTATGCAGATAACCACACAAGTAAACACAATTATTATGGACTTGCTTTTATTTATGTGTGTTGCCCAAACAAGTAAATATGTTTGTATTTCTGCTGTAGGCAGCTAACATAGGAACACTTGTACCCTTCTGAACAAATGCAAAAATCCACTAATCTATAAACATGCCAAAAATCTTGATGTAAACAAAAAGTTAATCTATGGAAAATTAGTCACTTTTTTTCTAAGATAAAACTTAATTGATCTAATATCCAATCCACAAAAAAGAAACAAATATGAAACTCTATACTTCGGAATATAGTCAGATATGAATCCTAAATTAATCCAGAATCAAGATATAAAGCCATTAATCAAATGAGTTAAGCGTACAATACTTCTTATGCCCTATTGTGAACATAAGGAAAAGAACCAAATCTAGATACCAAAGTTTCACAACCTTAAGGATTCCTTTGTTAAAAAGAGTAGAGAGAGAGAGAGAGAGAGAGAGAGAGATAACGACAAAACGGAAACCAAAAATACCAAATATTTTTTGGGTTATTGGTTTATGTAGAGTAATTTCAAGTAAATTTGGTTTTTTTTTTTTCTTGTTTCTCATGGAAGATTTGCATGATTGAAATTAGGTCTCCCAATTTATAAGAATTTACATAAGATTCCGATCTAGGTGTAGAGCTACATTGCTATTAAGGTCACCATTAACATTCATATATAAAAAAAGGAGAAAAAAGAACCTACACAAATATCACACCGAACCTGGAAGTTAATAGATCAAATTGTTCAATCTCAACAAGCAAATACTTGGTCATAGATCCAAATCAAATAAAAAAGAAGAAGAAGAAGAAGAAGAAGAAGAAGAAGAAGAAGAAGGAAACTAAATTTCAATTCCAATTTCAGCACAAATACTAGCCTTGTTGACAATTGGAGTCCCCGTTCGTTTGTTGCGTCCTTTTTCTTTCTCTTTGTGTGATCAAGTGAGCATTTTAGTCAATATTAAACCAGTTGTTTCTTCATAAAATAGGATAATATTTCAGAATTACTCAATTGAATTTTATAAAGCAAAAACAAGGAATGAACTTCTAAAACTTTATCTTGTTATATTATCTGAACAAAAATGACACATAATCCATATTCATTTACATACAAGATTCTAACAAGAGAACAATGCCGCCAGACATTAATTGGAAATAACTTCATAACAAAGGAAAATGAATTCGATATTTTGAGCCCTAAAAAATGATTAAGCAGTGAAGTAACATGAAGGAATCCACAGAGATAGCAGGAAAACAAAAAAGGTACATAAGTGTTTGAAGTTAGGTTCTGAGATGAAGAAGAGGTACCCTGGACTTGTGCTTCAGAGTTCAGAGAATGAGAGAGGAGGAAAAAAAGCGTTGCCTGCCCTTTCTATTTATTTATTTTACTTCAAAACCTTTCGAGAGGAGGATCAAAGAACTCCCGATATCATAAATAGCTTCTCAAATCGGAAAATAGGTTAATACGTTCAGAAATAAAATGGGGAAATACGTTAATTGTCTTATAAATTCTGAACGATGAGGTTTGAATAAAGTGCCACTTAGAAGTAAGGCGAACCCATAAATTTTGATGCAGCATGACGGGATGATGTTCCAATGCATAAAATTTTATAACAGCTTGAAAATATATTTTTATCCTGAATTGTAAAATATAAAAATTTAAAATAGTCCAAATCAAGCATATCAATAAATATTTAGTAATTTTGAAAATAGGCGATCTAAATATCTTGTTACAAGATGCATTATTTTAGAACTTCGACTTCTTTCTTATTTTTTTATATCCATACATTTTGTGGTCGAAATGATATGCGTTTCCAAAATCTAAACACTCTCTTCCAGTGGATGCTTGAAGTGCATCTTACTTGCACAATCTAAGGCTAACTATCTTATATAAACTTTTTTCCAATTCTAGAGGTAGGATAAACAATAATTGTATCACATAAGGGATTGTCTACAAAGAGACCATTTATTTTTTGTACATTGAAATCATACTGATTTTTGTCCCTTAAAATAAAAAATGGGTAGTTGCAAGAGTGTCGTTGAATATACAAAGTTCCAAAAAAAAAAATCTCGGGTTGTGTGACTCACAATCATTCTTGTCCCTTGAAATTCAAAATGGGTGGTTGTAAAAATGTCATTGAATAAACACAAAGTTCCAACAATAAAAATAAAAATTTTCAGACTTTGTGACTCACTCCAAGCTATCTAATTTGGCATCCAATAAGTGGGAATAATTATAACCTCCATATACAACGGTAAATGGCTTCTTTGTAGACAATCCCCTAGCGATAGATGCAACATTGCCTCTAAATTCCTCATGGGACACGGATGGTGCCCCTAGTTTCTAAATACTAAGGATAGTGTAAGCATAGTGCATGATACTTGAGAAACCAAGGAATTTGGTCTTGTAACTTGATTTTTTAGAAACTTGCAATAAAAAAATTCAATAAAAAAAAAATTGTATATTCTACTTTCTAAAATAGTATTGACAAATAATCACTTGTACATATGAAAAGCTCATAGACCCCTCTAAGTTAAAAGAAAATGATGTTTAACCTCCTTTTTTACCTTTTCCATTATCTAAATTATACTAATTAGTCTTTTTCATTTTTTCTGACTTGTTACCTCAACCATTAGAAAAGCTCCCCATCTCTTTCTCTCTCTACACTTGTGAACCTTTTTCTTTCTTCCCTCTCTAGCAGCCCCCTTGACCCTGATCTCATCTCGTAAGCCTCACAAGTACATTAAAAGTGGCATCTCAATTCCATTTATATAAAAGGTGATTAGAAAAAGTGAGAAGGGTAAATATTGTAACTTGGGTATTGAAAAAAGTTAGGAGATGTTGAACTTTTGAGGGAAAGAGATGAACCTACCAAAGTCCCAGGAATAAAAAACAATGTCGTAAGACTGTAAATCGCAGAGATGAGGTTTTATCAGAACAATTGAGAACCCAAGCTTTCTCTGTATAACCATGAAACCCTAGTTATAGAAGGGTAGAAAGAGGCCGTTCTCCAACATTCAGCTTTCCTTCTGGAATCTCTAAGAAGGTGACCATCTTTTTCTAGGTGGTTATCTTCTACCTATTGGATAAAGGCATATTCTCTCTCTAATAAGTTTTTTTAGTAACAAATATTAAAAGGTATTATTAAGATAAAGAGAGAGAAATAAGACACATGTGAGGCCCCATTACTATCCACACGTACCAACATCTCCCACTTGGCCATGAGGTCCAGATACATTGAAATATCATAAAATCTATACCACTTAGTGAGTTTAACATTTATGAGCATATCATTGTCAAGAGGTTTTTCACGCTAGTGAGGTTATGCATCTTATGACAAAAATAATAATTATCCAAAGTCATGTCATGGGGTTTTTCACGTTAGTGTGGCTTTTCCTCTCATGGCCACGACATCAAAAAAATATCCCATATGGGAGTTCTTGACTCAGATATTCCCAAGTCTCATCAAAGTTACATGCTTTGATAATATTTCTGCACTTAATCTATTTATTAAAGGGGTTGCAATCATGTCTGAAGATGGCAAATAACTTACAGTCATTTCATTCTTTCCAATAATATCATAAATGTAATTATAATCAATTTCAATGTGCTTACCCTCAGAACTATAGGCATTATTTCTAATTAATGAGATGGTAGCTTGATTATCACAAAAAAATTTAACAGGTCCATCGGTTATATCCAGCTTCAAATCATTTATGAAGTATTTAATCCAAACGGCGTAAGTTGTAGTAATGCAATATACTTGTAACAATCCTAAAATTTCAAAAAAAAAAAAAAAAAAAAAAAAAAAAAAAAGGAAGAATATGCTTTTAAATAGGTGATGGTCTGTTTGAGTATGATGGTCCTTGGGGACCATCACTATTTTCGAAAGTTTTTGCCTTTGCCTTTTCCTTTGCTTTTGCTTTTGCTGCCTGCTTCTTGCTGCTTGCTGCTCGCCACGTCCTTTAGCGGACGTGGTTTTTGTATGTTAAAAGCAGACGCTTAACGCGACACCTCAGGTATGAGGTAGAGCGTAATAAAATATTATAATAATACGTTATAAGAATTTAAATAGGGGAGGTGAGCACTCCCACTCTAGAAAATTTTAAGATCTCTCTCTCTCTCTCTAGTCGAAACACAGTGAACTTCTCTCTCGAACCGAAATTTTTTATCGGAAGCTCCCTCTCAAATAATTGTGGGTAAGTGACATCATCTTCCTGAAAAATAGTATGTTTTTAATAAATAGTGATATTTCTGTCCAGGATCTTTATTTTATAAGTTTTGTTTGTAAGTGACTTCATTGTCTCGAAAAATAATCCATTCTTTTTAAAAATGAAATGAAATAATTATTTCTGCTTATTATCATGAATTTTAGGCGCGATATATTTAATGCGCACGTGACCTCATTATCTTGAAAAATAATCTTTTTAATAAAAATTGTGATATTTTATCTTTGTTAGAAATTTTGAATGCTGTAAATTATGAAAAATAATTTATTTATTTTTCTTGTCTATTGTTAGAAATAAATGTGATATTTCTGCTTTTAGTAAAATTGTGATATTTCTTTCTACTGTTTTGAATACTTAGACATTGTAAAATTCATGTGCAAATGACTGCCTTATTATTTAAAAATTAACATTTTTGCAATTGATTATAGTATTATTGTGAAATGTTTATTTGTGAATTGATATTCCATAAATTGTGATAATTTCGTATTCTTGAATTTTTATAAG